TATGTTGAAAATTACAATTTTAATTCAAAAATGATGTTTCTTTTGGATAAAAACGTTTTCAAGATTTGGTAAAAATGATCCAAAAATTATCTTTTTCAGTTAACTTTCCACGAGAAATTTCGTTCAAATCGAGCAAAAAAAGTCACTCAATTAAACGTTATTTTTTACTTTTTCTAGTGTTTAAGCAAGTTTTAGATTCTTGCTTCAAGTTTTCGTTAAGACGGTCCCAAAAAATTCTTATTTCAAATTAAGTTTGTTATAAAATTCTTTGGTACAGTGAAACACGTTTTGGAGATAATTCTTTTCTTCTTCTTTTGGGTAAAATACCACTTTTTAACATTTCGCTCAGAGACTAAAAAATTACTAGTATTTTAAGTACATTTGGAGAAAAAATGTAATTTGCTATTTATTAAGCTCTGTTGAAATAATGTCAGAGAGAAGCTAAAGTTACTTTCGATGTTTCCCTACAGAAATTAAAATTCAAGATGTATATCCACTTTTCCGGTAAGCATCCCGGTTTCATCATCCCTCAAATTCAAAAGTCCCCACTTAAAATTTGGATGCATTACCCCCGACTTTGATCGCTTTTAAGTGACCAAACCGGATGTAAAAGCCATCGTAATTTATGCCAAAAGAGTACTTTATTGCTCCTCGAGTTTGCATAACAAAGTACAAGAAGAACTTAAGAATATTTTATTATTTTATAATTTATGTATAATCCAGCGCAAGCGCACATCTCGTCAATTTCCGCCTCTCTGGTGCAGGGTACGCAGTGTTTCCCATTCGGTTTTCCTCACCACCGGCGAAAACGTCAAAGAAAAGTGCGCGAAACACGTGAAAATTACAAAACTGAAATTTGTGTTACTGAAAAAAAAATAAATTAAACTGTGTGTATGGTGTTTCAAGCATTTTTATTTATCTAGGGGTTAAAAAGAGTGTTTTCGTAATGTAAGGAAATTTGTGTGGAAAATGTAAAATTTCCCGGACACGATGAAAAGTATGTTAGTGTTAGCGTTTGTGGCCATCATCGCTTTCTGCGGCTGTTTAACAGCTCCAACTTGCGTTTGCGATAAAAGAGAATGCGAAATTGTCAACGAAGTGGACTGTCCTGGACTAGGAATTGTGGTTTGGGATCCTTGCAAGTAAGGATTTTTTTCTTTGGGATTTCAGCCTACAATTTCATTTTGTTTATAAAAAAAAATTATTATTATTATTTCTTTAAAGTGTGCTGTTGGGCCACTTATTAATAATTCAGGCGGTCAATAAAGTAAAAGCGGTGGCATGTTATATGCCGAAACCTTTAATTTTCTCTCAAACGTAACGTTTCCAGTGTTTACAAAGGTTTTCCACGAAAATGTTTTGTTGTAGTAATTGTTGTCAGAGTTACTAGAGCCTTGAAACCTTGAAATTATTTTAGTTTGGTTCATTTGTATTCAGCAAAAATAAATTTATGCATTCGAAATACGAAATCAAACAGAAAATTGGAAATAAGCTGAATCTAAATTCAACCTGTGAGGTATTTTTTAAATCGAACTGGCGGAAATCAAATATTTGTTATGGCATTCGTATTATATAAAGATTGACAATTTCTTGTTTGTGTTGAGTGCGATTTTTACACGAAAAATTTTCACACTATTTTTTTTTTAATTCCCACCCTCAAGTATTAATTTTTTGGACAGTGTTCCAGATTTCGCTCAAATTGTGGTGTTTTTTTCACTTGTTTCAGGCTAACTAATTGTTTTTTACAACACAATTTTTTTCTAATAAAATATTACTGCTAAATATTGTTTGATTAAAATGAAAATGAACCGTTTTTTGGAAAAACAACACTTGTCTACGAAATATTTAGTATGTGTTTTATCCAAATATTTTTTATTTCTGAGATATAAAGGGTCCACGAGCGAAAAATCGTCAAAGAAACGACAAATTTTGATTAATTTAGTCATTTTTTTTTAAATAATGTAATAGATTTTTTTTAATAATTAAACACTACCATAAAAATCAAATATTTGTTATGTCATTTGGATTATATAAAGATTGACAATTTCTTGTTTGTTGTTGAGTGCGATTTTTCCACGAAAAATTTTCACCCTAAATTTTTTTTTAATTCCCAGCCTCAAGTATTAATTTTTGATCAAAAATTTTTGGACAGTGTTCTAGATTTCGCTCAAATTGTGGTATTTTTTTCACTTGTTTCAGGCTAACTAATTGTTTTTTACAACACATTTTTTTTTAATAAAATATTACTGCTAAATATTGTTTCATTAAAATGAAAATAAACCGTTTTTTTGGAAAAACAACACTCATCTACGAAATATTTAGTATTTGTTTTATCCAAATATTTTTTATTTCTGAGATATAAAGCGAAAAATCGTCAAAGAAACGACAAATTTTAATTAATTTAGTTAATTTTTTAAAATAATGTAATAGATTTTTTTTTTTAAATAATTAAACACTACTATAAAATTAAAAGAGTTACCTATTTCGGCTTGTGAGGTTG